GTGCAACCTGAAGTCTGCAGTGGATGGTTTTGTACTAGCATTTCCCGGCTTGATTTTTATTAGGATTTGATGCGTGCGTTGAATGTATGTGTATTTGCCTCATATTTTCGTACCCACGAATCCTTCTATCTATGTAGCTGTGATACCGGATTCGTTGTGCACTCAGTCTCGTTGCCGTGGTCTGTGCGTCCAGACACTGGTTTTTTTTGCATTTCCGTTCGCTTGACCTGATTTTATGTCTTTTTCGTCCGTCCACTAACGTCGTAACAGTTACCACAAGCTCTGGACGCATTGTGCTGGTCTCATGCTGAGTTTTATCGCGTCTATATCTATGTCTGTTTCCGATGCTTTGCACCAAGAGTACAAATTTATGTACTCTTGTTTGCACCTCTAGCTTACTTTCTGGCAGCTGCCGGGCTCGTCGTTCACAATTTGAACAAATGCCAATGTAGCCACCGCCGCTTTAGATTTTTCATAGTTTTCTGATTTATGCAGTGCAGTATCAGCCATTTTGATTTCCCTCTCGTATGTTTTAATTTCAGCAGCATGTGTCTGTTGTTAGCCAAATGATGCGAGTGCAGTGCTTCATGCTAAGACAAGTGCCTGTGGTACTACATGTACACGTACATTGTACTAGCGTCGTAGTCATGTCGATGCGGCAGCAGCCTTCTAACTATAGTTAGCATGCACGCGCGTGGGTGTGCGCACGCGTGTGGGTGTGAGTGTGCGTTGATTGCCACTGTGCGTGTATTAAACTATAAACAATTGTCAGGTCCGTACATAGCAGACGCGGCCACACCAGGTACTAGTAGTAGCTTGTAGCACGGCGGCTGACTTTTCCGCATATGCAGCTTTCAGCATGGTCAGGCATTTACCGATTGTCATTTAAATTTATATACCGATATGTGGGAAACCTTTGGAATCGTATTTGACCTCTGTTTGAGCACGATACCCCCACGAAAATGTGTCTCAATTGTTGCCACAAATCTGGCCTTATCTGACATGGAAATTCTACCACCCAGATGTCAGGTAGCCCAATCACTACTACAATAATCAGGGAGTGCATGTTGCCACTGCTGCCAGTATGTCCTCATTATTGTAGAGCATTACACATAATGTCATTATGTCAGTATGCAGTAGATCTACTCTGCACACAATTACTCATTACAATTGTAGTATCACGGTCTGTACACGCACACCAGAGAGGCAGAGAGTAATTGTCTATTAGTACTCCTGCTGTACACCATACCGCACCCCGGCCCGCGCCGCCCACTGCCTGCCCATGATTCGTTTTCGAAAATAATGCCACCTCAACTACCTATGCAGCTCCAGTGTACTCTGGGAGGATACATCCAGAACAGAGAATATCGCTTCTTGAACATTACTTCCGACCTTGCTCCCATATCCCTTCGCGGGTTGAAAGCTGTGATCGTCTAGTGGTTAGGACCCTACGTTGTGGCCGTAGTAACCCAGGTTCGAATCCTGGTCACAGCACACTTTTTCTTTTTTCTTTCTTTTTATCTGCAAGCAGGCGGGCAGGCGCCATGCGCGGCGCGCGCCAGTGCAACCCGGGTTCAGTTGTCACCAGGGTCACAGGGAGTCGCGTGAGCCGTTGTATGGGCAGGCAGCTTTTCATTTCGGGTTAAAAAGTGACTTCTCAGGGTATGCTACCAAGAGTCCATATAAAGTCTGGAGATGACAACTGCACACAATGTCATGTCACGGTGTCTGGCGTGTGAGCCAACACACCTTGTCAACTGAGCACTGGGAGGGTCACTCTAGCAAGTAGGAAAATTGTAGGGGGCAAGACAAACAGGTTGCCCATTTTGAATTGAAGGCACTTTGCATTTCCCGATAGTGACCGTGACACTGAAAATCATACTGCAACGTAGGTCTACGAGAGCACTGCACCGCATACGCGGAACGAGCGCCGGATTTTCGGCCATATGTTCCGGATTTCGTTTGAACAGCATCAATCTGGCTAGCCTAGTGATGCGGGCACTGGCAATACGGGCATGCAAATCATGGTCTGCATGACAGCGATGCATAAGAATCAGCAGCAGCCGGGGGGGGGGGGGGGGGGGGGGGAGAACTACTAGCATGATGGCCGGTAAAAAAATACATGTCACCCCACCATAAGAATAGAGTGTGTGTGTCAAAAATAATTACGGTTCAGGGGAAAAATGTACCGCTACAGTCAGTAGTACTCAGTATACGGGCTCATGGAAGTGGATCTTTCAAGTGTTGATAATAATTATTATGAGGAATTGTTTGACTCTCTGTTGAGTCACATTGTGCGAGATAGAACGGCGATGGCGGTACATTTTCCTTTCTGTTCTGTTCCACGTTTCTCAGCTTCTCGTTCGTCCCACTCTTGAAATTTGTACTTTTTGTACTGTTGAGGCAACGAACCGAAAATTAATAACAAAACCAGACCAAACTGACCAAACAACCAAACTGTGATGTGGCAGAGCGCCGCGGAGCCCTTCATTTTCGGCTCGCAGCAGCGGCCTGGCTCGGCTGAGCATGAGACACGCCATCAGATGTCCAGGATGCGCGCACATGCGGCATACCGACAAGGAGGGTACGCCATGGCCCATCGGTGTTTTGCTCAAGGATTTTCAATCTTGACTCTCATGTTTGGTATCTACACTGCAGTGCAGCCGCGATTATTTGCCGGCATACAATTGTTCAGCATCGGCAGCATGATCAAACGGCCCCATGACGAAACAACTTCCAGAAACGTCACTGAGGGGAATACATGGCTGGCGGACTGCGGCTCAGCGGCGGCACACACACTGCTTGTCTGAGTCCTCCTCAGACTGGCTCGGATCTCGTCTGACTCGAGCAAGAGCTCTCATTGAGTACATGTCTACTGGTCGCATTGTCCCGTCTGCGTGCAAATCTTGATTGCTGCGGTCCATTCCTTGGCTGATAGCCCTAGCTTTAGTCTGATCCCGCAAGTGAACCTGATCAATAGTTTTGTTGTAGCTGCTTTGTGCCCGGAGGAACTCAGGACTAACGCCGGGTTGGATCTTGAAAAGAAAAGTAGGGTGCGGGTCATCCTCACCATCTGAGGAACGTTTCTTTCGGCCTCGACTTTTCGAACCTCGTCTTGAATACTGGCTTCTTCCAGTCTTTCTAGAACGTGTTGTACGTCTCGAGCTCCTTCCTGGCCGCGGTTTGACTCTTGTGGATCGTCTGGTTGGTCTTGATGCCCTTTGAGAAGCCTTGGGGCGTCTTGAAGTCGTACTCTTTGGTCGGCTTGTTCTTGAAGTTCGGCGAGACCCACTGCTGTTTCGGCTTGTTCTTGAAGGTCGACGAGATCCACTGCGTGGTCGACTTGTTCTTGAAGTTTGACGAGATCCACTGCGTGGTCGACTTGTTCTTGAAGTTTGACGAGATCCACTGCGTGGTCGACTTGTTCTTGAAGTTTGACGAGATCCACTGCGTGGTCGACTTGTTCTTGAAGTTCGACGAGTTCCACTGCTCGGTCGGCTTGTTCGACGGGATGACCTGGTTCTTGATTGGCTCGGATGAGATGCCCTGGTGCGGCTGAGCTTGCTATAGAGGATGTAGTTGTGCTTCACAGTGTCGCTTGAACCCAAGAGCAACGTCATGCTCTCATCTTTCTGCTTCTTCTTGTTCTGGAAGTTGTCGAAGAATGGCGCCGCACATTTGCACTGGCTGACTTGTGTCATGGTGCAGATATCGCACGTGCCCTTCGTGTAGACCTTCTCTGTCTGATGGCGCATGGCGTGAAGCTTGCCGTCCCCGATAACCTTGACTGCCTCACTGCGCAGCTCCGGCTGAAATAAGAACCGGGAGAAAAAGACCACCAAGCCATGACTCTATTGTTGCAGTAGAAGTAGTAGTACATTGTACAGTGCTGGCCAAAGAAATCCAACGGCATGAACACAATAGCACTCACTACACATACTGCTCTGTGCACTCGAACGCGGCGCTGCTTTATTCTTGAGGTTGGATTTATCTGGCCAGCACTGTAGTAGTGAATGCAAGGCTGGCGCATGCAAAATGCAGGCGTTTTCAAGCATAATACAAACCCTTCATCAAAAACTCGTATGTTGAGCACATAGTCATATGTAAAGAGCAGACCGTCCAACCGTCCTGCTTTGAGCAGGACTGTCCTGCTTTGGACCAAAACATCCGTAAACATTTACATGGGACACGATTGCCATTGTATACATTGTATATGGGTGTCCTGCTTTGGAATGGTGGCATTGTTGGACAGACTGAAAGAGAAAAGGACTATCTGACTGTATATTATCTCGTTACCTTGGTGGACTGTTAGTCATAACTAGTAACCTATACTAATAGTCCCTTTTCTCCTACATCAAAACAATTAACTTTCCCTCTCTGGAGAGGCCGGTATCACTCGTGATGTATCCATGAACGGGTTGACAACTGATAATGTGTGCCTTCCGGCATGTGTGCTTGCAAGGTGGCGATTAAATTTCGGCTCGAAAGCGTCACTTGAGGGAATTAATTTGCCTACTGATCAGCTTTTGGAATGGTTACCACGGCATTATGAAGTTATGAAGCCATGATGAGTCCTGGTGGGTCTGGCATTTTTTTCTCTTTTCAGGCAGTTCACTTCCCCCGACTGATCCTTTATAATTGAGATACAAATTTTAATATGTTTCTTCGAAGCAGTAACTGTGAATAAGTGCTATATTAGAAACCACTTCCAGCCCCGGGAAAGGGCAAAAAAGCAGATTTAGATACTTCGAAGTAGAAATCTTTGTGTGGACTTTGACTCGTACCGGCCTATGCTGCAGAAAGTGGGTTTTTTCTCTTTTAAAATAGCTGGGAAAGCAGCTGCATTTCTAAAATGCGAGTAAGGACATGGCCGCAAGTAAGTGCGCATGCATAGGCCGTGTAATGATATACTGCATGCCCCCCCCCCCCCACACACACACCTCTTTTGTTGTGCTTCATGAAGGTGGAAAAGCAAGCCGGGAGGTGGGATGGAAACATCATGGAATATTCAATCGTCCCACGGCCCAAAGTCATGGGATGCCGTTACGATATGCCAATCTTCCTTCACATCTTCACACTCGCCCTAATAGGTATGCATCCCAGATGAATAATTATGGCTGTTGTGGCTACTCTACACCACTACCGGTATGTGTACTGTACAGTAACTAACCTGTGATCTGATCTTCCTTTTCCGCCTGCGTGCTGGATTCAACAACACCGGCAAAATGGCAGCACAAACGACAGTAACGTGTAAATGCAGTGTTCAGGTTTTAGAGAAGGGGCAGCACTGGGGCAGCACTGCCATACGGCATGCTTTCCGGCATACATAATTATGCACTCTAGCTGTATACAAGACATCGGCTTTTTTTTAATCAGCTGGGTCAATGGCCGCAATCAAGCAAGTGCATGTACAAGAACTCTATGTATGCGGGGACATTGGCGTTGCGCCAGTTGGGTCAAACGATTTCAATCAGACCACTGTACAATGAAGTGTTCGGGCCTCCTTGGTGAAAGAGCGTTTGCACTTTGCAGTTTTCAAAATGTGAATGAGGAGAAGGATAGGTGCACTTCCACTCTTACACAATGGTACACGGTATCATGTAAAACACCTCAGGCAACAATTTACTGAAGGTGGAAGGCGCATGCAGTGCAGAGGACTTGCTGATGACAACCCATGTCTGGCTGACAGGGCCTCGGCATGTTAAAGCCTTGGCGTGTGAAGCAACGCATATCATCGGATTGCAGAAGAACATTTTCCGCTGCCTGAGTCACACTGCATGTGAGCCATTGGCCTTGCAAGCCGCTGAGGGGATGTGCATGGGTCCAACATTAACATTTGGAAAGGTGACTGCTCTGATACTGCGCACGGTGCTTGCCCTAGAAGACCGCTACAGCAATGATTGAGTGGTGTTATTTCCAGTCATTTCCACCTGGACAGGAGCACCACCTAAATATTTTGTTGTGGGATGGCACAGTTTCAGGTTCCTTGGCGGTTGGTGCAGCCAGGTTTCACCGTATCTGCATTCTGCAACATACAAGGCACTTAATCTCTCTCTCCCTCTCTCTCTCTCTCTCTCTCTCTCTCTCTCTCTCTCTCTCTCTCTCTCTCTCTCTCTCTCTCTCTCTCTCTCTTAAAAATTATGCACCTGCTTTGAGGCTCAAAGAGAACCTGTTGCAGAGCTAGTTGTCAGTCCTCATTTCAACATAATACAAATGCAAAGTACTCTCTCACTCTCCATTATGATGTACACAAAAGACTCACAAAAAAAACTCTCGCCAGGTGTAAAGACAACCATGAAGCCCGAGAAGCCTCGACAGGCATACTCCAGATTGGACTGAAACGTCACTGAGGCGACATTGTCGTCGATGACAAATGTATCCAGCGTACTGCTTTTCTTGCTGCCGCACAGCTTTCTGCTCTTCCTCTTGCCTATGACAGACAAGCTGTCCTTTGAGCAATCGCTGTCCAAGTCAAGGCTCAGGAATTCCACATAGATAAAGGTCTTGTCAGGGCCAAACACCTCGTACTTGCAGTCCACGTTTGGTGTGTACCTGTCGCCACAGACGTCAGCATTTTGCGGCGACACGATTGGCGCATAGTCGAGATTCGGGTACGATCCACTCAATATCTCCTTGTTATTATGAACATGTCTGCAGGACCACCTCCCGTTTGTTTGTCGGCTGCAGGATCAAAGAGCAGAGCAGCAGAAGCATTTGCGCAAGGTCGAATCCGGGCCATGACGATATGAGCGATCCAGGTTTATAGATATAGATAGCTCAAGAACTATTAACATGAGCACGATGCCGGGATTTGTCACCAAACTCCCCTTCCCCTGGCGACAGGTCTAGCAGCTGAAGTCTTGGGAATTGTTTTACTTTTGAGAATCCGATGTTCCGCATATCATGCACACACACACACACACACACACACACACACACACACACACACACACACACACACACACACACACACATGCACACACACACACACACACACACACATGCACACCCACCCACACCCACACCCACACACACGCGCGAGCGCGCAAACACACACACACACACACACACACTAACAGAAGAGATGGTGTGCTGTTTATCATTGCCAAGGCAAGGCAACTAAACTGTATCCTATCTCTTGTGTGCATAACCTCCTCTGACTAGTGACTGCATACCTGCCCTGTTGCATTGAGCATTCTACTGGAGCTGTCTGGACTGCCCCGGTTGTGTGTGCAGACTGGTCATAACAATAATGTACTATGACATCTGCACTGAGACAAACAGGGCAGTGCAGTAATTATTATGTAGAGTAATGTAGTGCAAAGCTGCCTGTCCTTCACAGATCAGCAGAACCCCGGTGACACTAAGTCAACTGGAATGAGCATGCCTGGAGGCAAGGTTCCACACTACTGAAAGCTCATCAGCTATGCAAACGCCATACAGGCATGCATGCATAAGAAACCAACAGTCAACCATCAACAGTCACCCAACAGTCACCACCGAACGGCGTGTATGCCGGAAGGCTTCCCATGATTTCATTCTTCTCAACTTTTTTCCCCCACTCTGGAATACTTTCCATTTTCAACCACGCCTCATGGAGTCATGGGCGCCTCTAGAATGACTACTCCACTGGTACATGTATACTACAACAACCGTAGTCCTTGCTATTATTCACTGATAATGGGGCTTTGAATAAATCACGGATAAATCACAGATTAAAGCACTGAACTGGTGTGCTAGGCAGGCACTGTTCGCAGTAATGTTGATGGTGGACGCCAGCAGGTCGAGACCAGCATCAGGCAGCTGATGTTCTCTTCTTACCTGAGTAGCTGTGCGTCGCCCTGGCACGCTGCGCCCAGCAGTACTGCACCCACCAAACACACAACTACGACCGTGAGCGACACGAAGTGCCTCCTCGCCAGTGGCGTCTGCTGGCCTCGAGCAACATCCATCATTTGTCCAACGCTATCTCCTTCCCATGTTGATTGCATGTCGGGGCTCCTCTGAGCATTCGCCTTCGCTCGGCAATGGTGTTGAACAGGGAGAGAATGTCCTCCCGCACCACCTGCATCATTCGACTCTCTGCGCTGGGGTATTGCAAGTGGAGATTCGTCAACAACTAGGTCTGTAGTTATCATCACGGACGTAGATCTACCTCCGAAGCGTGCATCGCCCATATTCCTTTGCCAGGCGACATTCGACGGGCCATCAACTCATGATCGCGACTGGAGAAGTCAGTTTGAGGTCATGGACTTGACGTCACTTGCAGGTCTGCGCCGACCGCGCACCGGATTGTAGTGTGCTGACTAGGGTCGCAGTCGCTCGCTCTGGGCCCAACGTATCGTCTATCGATGCTCTCCCTCTCCCAGTCGGGCAATTGTATCCTAATCGATAGGGTATTATGGATTGTAGATCTACTGCGCTTCGACTACAAGTACAAATGCCGCCGGATCGCACCTCGCAGACACCAAAGTCACAGAAGAGCTCGCACCCTCTCCTCGCGCACGCAAACCGCCTTGCATTCACCAGCAGATCTATCTACAGTTCATGTTGAACTGGGTCGTAAGACTCGTAACCATTGCGTGGAGCTATGCCTGTGCGGTGTTGCAGACTCATCGTGTAGATCTGCTCTTGCCGACACCGGCAGCCGGCTATGGTTCATCGGCGTACCAGCAGCATCATCGCAGTGAATATGCATGCACACGAAGCCATGCATAGATCCACGCCGGCCCTGATTGTCACTACAATACTCAATACTGCAATAGTCTACGTAGAGGGCCAAGGCAAGGGATTTCTCCAGTACTGTATTCATCGGATACACAACCCTAGTAGAGACGGCGTCAGATCGGATAACGATAGTATCCAGTACAGTACGTCTACAGTACATGTGCAGTCGTGTAGATGTACATGATTGTATGTTCACTAGTCACTACGACAACTACAAAGTACAACTACAAGAGGGGTATTGCTGACTGAATGTTTGGGACTTGGTCTTTATAGGGTAGAGTCTACACTATTAGTATTTCTGGAATATTTTAGAACATCTACTGGCTGGTTCTGAAGACCGGAGATTCTGTGGAGATCCGACCTGGGCACTACCGGCCATGGCGGTTTCACGACTGGATCGGCCACACACGCGCAATAGTCGAGCGTGCAGCTCGGAGAGGCTGACTCATCATCCCTGTCTCCCACTTGCTAAACGATAAAAGTCATCGTAAAAACATAGACCTGCATTACACTCTTGGGACTTTGCATTGGATGTTCGCATGTTTGCTCGGTTATCTATCTGTAGATCGTAAAATAGCAGGCAGGATCTGGCAGACACAGCATTTCGAATTTGCATTTTGCTGATGCAGTGGTGGGTGTATTCTTACCAGCTACTGTAACACATTCTGCTCCCGAACTACTCCCCAGACCCTGAGCACTGGCCAACGGTGTCATTAGCCGTATTTGGATCCGATAAGACTTGACTTGGGCAGTAGGGGAGAAACTCCATATTTTTTAAAACCATAATGGGCCGTAATTCAACAGTGCACACAGCGGGGTAGGGCTTCTGAATCAGATACATGCATAATAATTACTACAGTCATTCGGAGTCTACTGCATGGCCATGCGCATAGCAAGTACATAGGACTTGGGAGGTCGTACATTGTAGTATCCTTTGACCACCATGCCCTTCCAATAGCATACCACATCCGCGAATTTGAACCTGAAATAGCCCATCAAAAGTGCGCACTATTCCGGCAAATACGGTACTTTCTCGCTCACCCATCTCGATACATGTAGTTGATTTGAACTCAAACATGTATCGGCTGGTACATAAAGGGTGATTGAAAGTAGTTATTACTAGTGTGCGAATGTCCATACATTGTTCATTTCAAATCCGTTGATCCCCGAGCTGCACTGCGGAGAGCGTTCAATGTCGTAGACATAGCAGAATGTCCTAGCGGAGGACGTTCAGGTTGGTTGTAAGTTGTAACTAAGTAATTGGTTACTTGTAACTCCGGGTTTTCTAATGCCGCGAGGCAATCAGGCATCAGTTGTCGTCAGTCATCAGTTGTCTGGTGATTAATTGCCTCGTGGCGTGAAAGCTCGGACTTACACCCAACCTGGACGTCCTCCGCTGAGTATGTTTCACGTGTGATGTGTGCTTGAATTTTGTCCACGCATGCTATGGCAGTGTACTGAAGCACCTGCTGAGTCTGTCGTATTCACACCACGCCTGTCATGGGACATTGGGACGGTATTATTTTGGTATTGGTATTATTTATTTCACTTCATCAAAGCGAACAGGCAATGATGCCTTCTCACCAGCTGACGGCTGGCTCCCACAGAATGATGAAAAATTGTAAGTTAATTGTTATGGCGATATACTAAGTAAATGTATGAGGTACATTTAGAGAAGTATTTGGTGCGCTGCTTCCGTTCCTTCCGCACCTTCCCATGCCGCAGACTGAGCAGACGAGCATCATCGGGCCAGTGAGTGAGTGTGAAATGATGGCTCTGACCCTGGCCTTGCTAGCCTATGTACAATGTTTGTTTAGCTTTATTGTACTTCACCATACTCCATAGCGGGCATAGGCAAAATCTGCCTTCTCCCTGGGCCACAGTTGTCTCAAAAATGATGAAGATACTGACATGAGAAGTTTGTGACAATGCCACGTACAAAACACCTCATCCCCATGATTGTAATTTCAACTACTAATTTGTAAACAAGCTTGAAATCAATTTTGATTGTGATTTTTGTATGTTCAACGACTGCAACGCATGGAATAGCAGTGCAGTTGTTCCAGTACAGCAGATGAGCTGCCGGGCCTTGGGCCGTTGGGGGCTGGCTGGCGGTGAAGTGCAAAAACTTGAAATGAACTTGAAAAGACATTTACACGTGTACATACATGTAGATTACTCAATCTTCGGACAGCTTGCTGTCACGTGTATTATGTACATGTATAGTAGTAAAGCCTTCTAAAAGCAACAGCCAAAGACAGTGTGCTGTCTCTCCGTTGTGATATTTTAGAGGCCGAGGAGTCTCTCACATCCTGCTCAGAGGCAAAGGCGTTATGCGAATGTCTACAGAACCGTGATGCAAATCATGACTTCGTAGTTCGCACATACATGTATACTCGTATTACAAAGGCAGAAGAGAACAGAGACAACCTGCTAGATCATTATTTACTCGTATCACATACATGTATGTTTATTGAATATTGAGTATGGAGACTATCGACTATCCCAAGCACGAAGTACTAAAGTAGATCAGCATAAACAAGCACAACGTTCAGTGACATACGGAGAAAAGAACCCAAAGACCTTTAAAGACTGCTGTTGCTGCATTTAAACTCGGAGTTTCACGCAAAATAGAGATCATCAGGAGGCACGAGCAAGCACAATCAGTCAATCATCATTCACACAGTCACGGTACATCATGGCACATGCACTACTCCAGCTCCAGAGAGTGCCGGTTGGCATGTTGTTGCTCCACTCGCGACCGATGCCCAACAATCAAAGGACGGGTTGTTGTTAGGCCTAACTTAGGGTACGACAGTATGCACAAAATCATTGGCTTTCCTGCGGAGATGGAAGCCAACTATCGACATCCGAGTGTCGTGGTATTATCAACACTGCACTCAGTGACTACAGCTGCAGTTGAACTTCGGTGAGCCACCACACCTGGTCTGCTCCGAGAGCAAGCAGGACCAGTTGGCCTTTGTGCTACACGAAGAAGCCCGATTTGCCGCTTCTGGTATCGGACTAAAGAAACAAGAGAGAGAGAGAGTACGAATTAATGAGAGCTATAATTATACTAAAGATGAGGCGATGTACCAGCAACTCCACAGCAACCCAGCCTGTACACACCTTGATCTGAATCGAGTTCTCAGGAATTGAGGAGTTCCCAGAATAGTACATTACCATTGCAAATAGAGCGCGGTGCCAAGTCATGGATTATTTTCGGGGGAGCAACAGGAGAATATCCAAATAGTTCGTATACAAAGTAACGTGTCCGCTTCTCCAGTAACACACAATGTCTCATGCACCAAACCGTGCAGATTATGATTGTGCACGCAATGTTGTTGTTGTTTTTCTTTGTTGTTTTGATTTCTTTACTTGAATTCGCTAAACCAAACGGACATAACTGTCCAGTGACAAGGGAGCGAAGTCTTAGGAGCTCTAAGGTGTCGGATATATTAACCACGAATCGCAGAGCACCAAGCTGTGTTGCTACCAATAGTTTCATGCCCTTGGTCAATCATTAGACATGTGCAACTGATCCATGAGGTCTAGTCACACGACCCCTTCCCTGTGCAGTATCGCCAAAGCGAAGCCTTTCGGAATTACGTGGATTCAGTCTTAGGCTTTTACTTATTCTTTTAGCCTGGGCATTAGACTTGGTCAGTTCCAGGTGATGTACAACGGTTACGTGATGAGTATCTCGCCGCCGACTTACCCATTTGCAGTGTCAGGTGGTGGATATGTAAAACCAGAGTGCACATACCACTGTCCATCCACCCTCACACGTACCTACAACCAAGGAGATAATTCCATTTCCACGCACAATCATGATCACGGATCTAAGTAATCACGAGTAGCTCACGCTCTACAAGTAGTGGACCGAATGGGTGAAGGGGACAGAAGCAGAACATCGCTTTCACAATGCGCTACAAAACCACCATGGCAAACACCGCGCGTTTGCCTGTAAGCGACCCTGCAGTCCGATCGCAAGCCAAAGACGTAACTGCACAATCCCAGAGGCCAGTCGAATACACGTTACCAGCGCGGGCGGTGGCACGTCTTGCAGATTCGTCGAGTGGAAGGTTCGACAATCATGCTCTTTGTATGCTCCAGGCGACAGTATCGAGTCAGTCAAGTAATATACACAACAACAACAAGTGTCATGTACTTTGGCAGGAAAGGTGAACGCCACGCAGGAGTAACCAACTAATTTACTTCGGAAAACTATCCCCAGTTGTACGTGTGCTTTAGAAGATTCCATGCAACCTCTTCATTAGTTTGTTGTAAGCTTTACTGTTAGTGTCACCGCCAGGAAAGGGAATCACGGGCCAAAGATGCAATCGGGATGTAACAGAAAACACTCCAATTGGCCATTTGCCGCTTGCAATACTACACCACAGTCGTCGCCATCGACAAAAGCATAGGCAGAGTAGACGCGGTCAGTGCTAGAGCGCAGCGCGTCTGGCAAGGTCTCACACTAGTATAGTAGTAATTGAATGTAATCAGCGTAGCGAAATGCACCCAGATACCCCCAACCCCGATTAGATTATGTCTACAGTAGGCGCGAAACACTCCATGTCTGCAGTGCAAACCCCCGGGGACCACTCGAAGGAGTCGCCACCATTGTTCTAGCTGAATGGAGAAGAACTTCAAGAAGACCTCAACTGCATGCGGACTACATCCACTATGTCCCATCTCACCGTTTTTAGTTGATTGACCGCCCCTACCTATCTGTTGGGAATGCCCAAGTAAAATAATAAAATACAATACACAATACAAAAATACCTACCGGTATACAATCATGTGCTTTGTCGGAAACGGTTACCACGGCAGTTATATCTACACAATTATGTATCCTCCAACCGATCGTTTGAGGAGTTTCATGTGGACAGCATCAGCTCAGAAGCACTGGTTCTGGAACTCATTTAGAGTCATTACCCGCAAGTATGTCTGTACATGTATTCGGGAGATGGAACATCCTTGAGAGACGAGAACGGCTTTCCATACGCACAGGTTGCAGGTTGCAGGTTGTTGTTGTGTTTATTTTAATTCGCAAACCAAACGGGCAGATCTGCCCAATGAAAAGGTGGCGAATGCAGATAGAAAGC